TAAATAGTAGTTTGCACAGTGACAACTCTTGCCTCAAAGTATCATGAATTCTTATAAATTAGCCCATATATTTATATTTATGAAGTTGTATTTTACTGAAATTGCTGTGCTTTGAAATATGAAATTAAAGAAAAGAGAGAATGATTGAGATTGGAAGGCATCTCTGGATGTCATCTTCCCTGCTGCTCAAGGAAGGGTTCCCTAAATTAGCTTACCCACGACTGTGTCCAAATGGCTTTTAAAACTCTCCAAGGATGGAGACTCCACAGCTTCTCTGGATAACCTGTGTCAGTACTCAGGTACAGTGAAAATGTGGTTGCTGATGTTCAAATGGAACTTCCTGTGTTTCAGTTTGTGTCCATTGTCTCTTGTGCTCTCACTGGGCACCACTCTGTCTGTCCTCTTTGCAGCCTCCCTTGAGCTATTTTTATGCACTAGGAAAATACCCAGGAGTGTTTTCTTCTTCCAGCAGTCCCAGCTCTCTCAGCCTTCCTTCATATGATGGATGCTTCAGTCTTTTAATTATTTTTGTTGCACTCTACTGGACCCACTCCAGGAGCTCCATGTCTCTTGTACACTGGAAAACCCAACACTGGACAAAGCTCTCCAGATGTGGCCTCGGTAGGGCTGAGTAGAGACAGAGGATCAGCTTCAGTGACCTGCTGGTGATATTTTTGGCCTCCTTTGTCCCAAGGGCATGCTTTTGCCTTGTGTTCAGCTTGGTCCATATGAAACTCCAGGTCCTTTTCTTCAAATCTGCTTTCCAGATTTAAAAAAAATTGTAATTCTAAATATTTTTACCAAAGCTGAAAGAGTCAGTTTCTCTTACGGTTCAGTTTATAATTCCACTTGCAGATTCAGGTTTCTTGATGGTAATGGTAGTAGCTGTATAGTACTAAAAAGACCAATTTGCAATTACAGTACAATTGCTTTAAGCAACATTTCTGAAATCATTTTTGTTTTTCAGTCATATATTGAAATGTGCAAAATGCAGTACAAGTAAAAGAATAGCAATGTTTAATATGAATTAGGAGAGGGAACATTTGCATACTCTTGAAACTAGGTTAAAATATATGTAAAGCAACAAGATGGCTGCTTCCCCACTATCCCAAACATCTCTTCCCCTTTTTCTCTGGAAAAATTATTTCAGCAAAAAATTCTAAATATTCATTCTCTTTTGCTTGGTTTTTGGAATAAAGGACAAATGTAATAACATTTGTTATCTTTATTGTCTTGATATTCAATGTAGGAAATAACCCAAATGATCAAAGTAGTTTATTTTTCACCAAAAAACAAACAAAAAAAATCATAATCATGGTGATGAAATTACAATTGCGTTCCTTCCCCAGCCACCAAAAGCAGACTTGTTCCTTAGTTGTTGAGCTGAAGGTCCCAGCCTCTCTTGGCCAGTGATGTGCTTCCTGAGCTTGCAACTCATAAGTCATTTTGGGCCCAAGAGCATTGCAGTGGTATAAACACACAGCTTTTGGAGGGAGGAGAGAGCCTTCAAAACTGCTTGTCAGATTTTAATGCTAGATGCTCTTAAAATGCCTGCTGCTGGCAGGCAAGGACTGTAGGTCTTACCTTTCCTGTCCACTTACGGTTTGTAACCCTTTGATTTTGCCCCTAATGCGTTCTTAAGGCTGCTTAATTCACCCCACTTCAGATTTTGATTTTTGGTATAAGAATAATCTTCATTTGATTATATTTTTACAATGAAACTTCAACAACTCTTAAAATCTTAAAATAGCTTTGTTTCAGGTTTACTAGGTATAGCACTCATAGACTACATGCTGTAGTCTTCAGTAAGTCTTCACTGCTAGAGGGAAAAAAGTGTAGATAACCTTTTTCTCCTTTATTCCAATTTATAATTCCCTTTAATCACATAAGAATACCATACTCTTATCTCCTACCTGAGGCACTCAGATGTTAGAGAGATCTGTTTCCTTAGTTGTTAAAAACTGATCTTGGATTCCAGTGTCGTTGTCTCCAGTCTTACTGATCCTCAGTACTGACTTTAAGAAAACAACATGCTCGTTTGGCCAAAATACCATTTCCTTTAAATCTTCCTCTGCCTCAAGAATTTCCAGTGGCCACAACCAAACCTCAGGAGTCTCAGGAAAGGCTGGCTTCAGTACGGTAGCTTTGGACCTGCTGTTGCAATGCTGCTCTTCATGCTCCATTTTACATGCCCGTGGTAGCTCTGGTAAAAGGCTTTGTAAGAGCAGTGCTCAACTGATTGCCCTGTTTGATTTTTCTTTTGTTTAGGTATTCCTGATAGAACTGCTAAACGTGCAAGAGTAGGTAAAAACCTTAGACTGTGTTAGGAAAACACAAGAGCCTTGTCTGCCCTTTTTCCCACTGCTAAGGTACAGCAGCAGTTGTTTGTTCTAAAGTTCCAAAGAGTAGATGGGGCTATAATGCTTACAGATACAAGACTTCGGAGTGCTTTCATAGACCCACTAGTGTGACAGGGAAATTCTGTTTTGTTTGCAGAGTATTTTGGAAATGGGAATCATTCATAGGTCCTACCACTGCATTCTGGTTAATTTCAAACCAACTTGTGTAGTTGCTAAAAATAGCTATTGTTACCAATTGTGAGTTCCATTCAAATATAAAAAATAATATTAAACAACAACCACCAACAAAAACATAAAACTAAAAATCTCTTTGCAGACTTAGGCATTGTTACAAGTACAGAATTTGTCTAGTTAATATGCAGGGTGGTTATATGGAAAAACTGGCTTGTTTCAATTTAAGAGATAGTTCATTAAATATTACCTTTAGGGGAATTTTATTTTGCACTAATGCAGTGGGTTTGATAGTAGCTTCTAAAATATTTGAAAGGATAAATGTTTAAAACATTCATTTGGAAGATATGGAAAGCAAATCACAAAATTGTTAGCTACACCAGACTAGGCATCTCAGTATAGGATAGGGGAAAAAACCCCAACACTGACAGAGAACTCTATTGAATGGATGTAGCTTAAGCCTCTGTCTTTGCTTCTCCTTGGCAGGTCTTGGAAGGAAAATGGACGTGGAATGTGAACTTCCATTTTAAGAAAAAATTGATGTTGTAGTAGGTTTTCTCATGTAGCCTAAGGGAAGTTCTCTTTAAGTGAACTCTTGCTGCAGTCGATTGATATACAAATAAAAGTTCTAATATTCAGATTTATGACCAAATTTATAGAGTGAATAACTTAAAAGCTAAATTTGTGGTTCACTTAAATTGAGAATAGTAAAGACAGTTTTTAGGCTTAACCAATCATTGCATCCTATTTCTTATTGGTTTAGAGGAGAGTCCTGGTGTCCTCAGTTAATGTCAGAAAAGGCTCTTCTGAGAGAAATGAGATGAAAGACTACCTGTGTAGGAAGTGTACAACTACAGTGAAACACGGTGGTAGAGACCATTGAAAGAATGATTCCGCTTTCAGGAATTTTATTAAGCATTGAGATGCAGCCAGTTTTATTTCCAAATACTGGAATTGTGATAAATGCATACAATGAAGGATTGGATTTTTCTTTATTATATTTGTCTGCTGTGTTTGAGTACTTAACTAAAAGATGTTGGTAAAGAAATGTTTAGCAACATTGACTGGACCGTCATTTTAACTATCAGATTTAGAGAGAGAAGGGGGCTTTGCTCAGAGGCAGCTAACAAAATTCAGCTGCCTATAAGCTAAAAATTTATAGTCTTGTGCAATTTTCCATTTTGCAAACCATTATGTATTTAAGCTTTAGATGCTTGCTCTTATGTGTATATATATATACACACAAGTGAATCATTTGTGATTCATGCATGTATGTGAGAATGTAATATATTAATTACGCAAAAAAGCCTACCTTTGTTATTTTGGGGATTTGGGGGGGGGTGTTGGAAATAAAGCAGTGATCTTCTAAAAGTGCAACAGCTTGGTGAATAGTTTTATCTCAAATACAGAAGGAACAAGTTTGATCTCTTCTAATATTTCCTCTTCAGCCCTTAAATTTGACATCACTGGTGCTGTGGCATAAGTACTTAAACCCTCAATCAGGAATATGTGACAAAAAGATAACACCTTATTTTAAGGTGTTGAAATGTTCAATCATCAACTGCTACGTTCATCCAGTAAACTGTACTTCAAATGGAGCATCTTATAACATCCTTGGCAAACCATGAGGTTTTCCAAGTGATGTGGTGGCAAATTCATAACCAAAACTAAAAGTTTTCATTTAATTTAAAAGAAAAACTGAGAGCAGAGAGAGAGATGACCAGAATCTCTTTTTCCAGTGCTCTGAAGTAATGACATGATAATAATTTGTTTATTTTATGAAAATACCAAATGATGGAAAAAGATATTAGATTGTAAAATGCAAGTAATTTTACACATGATGCAAATACAGGAAAGAAGCAGCAAGTAGACACTGCAAATATGGATTTTAAGTAGTTGAAGCTAGTTCTGTTTTCAACCCCTACAGTGTGTGTCCTGACCTACCCTTGCAAAGGACGGGTTATATGCACGGGGAGGAGGGATAGATGAAGGGAAGCAGGGTTTCTGGCTAGAAGCCTGTTCTTGTTTAGATTTTAGTGACAGAAGGCCTGACCTCTTTCTGTTTTCTTGTTCTCTTTTCTGTGCAATTTCATGGTGGCTGACTGGCTTCATGATTAGTCTAAAATAAATCAGGAGTTGATTCTTATTCTCTTTCCGGCCCTCTAGCTAGATCATTGAGTGCAAAGTTTTGAGAAGAATATGAGTTTTGATTTGACAACTGTATTCTCTGGTTAAGCCTTTTTACAAAAGATCACAAGCTATGAGAAGTCCTAATGAAGGCATAAAAATACAGAGGAGCATTTTTTAGAGGGTGGTCTTAAATTGTAGTCTTCTAGGTGGTGTTTGTGGAAAGACAGTGTTAATTATTGTGATCTTGGTTGTGGGTTTGTTGGTTTTGTTTTGTTTTTTACTAAACTTAGATTGTTTATGTTTATGGAAAACTAATTTCTTCTTTTGCTTCTCTTTCAGTAATAGTTATGCACGAGTGCGAGCTGTGGTGATGACCCGGGATGACTCAAGTGGTGGATGGTTACCACTTGGAGGGGGTGGACTAAGCTGTGTCACAGTCTTCAAAGTCATTCCCCAGGAAGAGAATAGCTGTGCTGATTTTCTTATCCATGGAGAACGACTCAGGGATAAAACGGTAACAATTTGCATCTATTTAATCATATTAAAACTGTATGGGACATAAGTATAGATGCTTGCTTATTATTACCTGTAGCCTACAAAATAAATTTATTGTCTGTCTAATGCTGTTGCTGAACTTCTCTATATCAATGACTGTGTACCAAAGGAACCAGTTACTTGTTTTAAATGTAATACCCTGCTTTTTTAGAATCAAGCACATTGATTTTTTAGAAACTCTCCATCCATTTTGGGAAAAATTTTGCAGTTAATTTTTCTTCCAATGAAAGATTAGAGTTAAATATTGTTTCTATAGCAGTTATACTGCATTTAGAAGGAGTGTTGGAAATGAGAATTTTATTAAGAACATGAAATCAGGTGGAATTCCTTAGTAGTGATTTGGTTAGCTGTAGAATATGGCTATGACAAAAAGAAGCCATTTTACGTGACAACAACTTTGTATTGAAAGACAGCATGTCAGCTGTCAGGTTTGATGCACACATAGACAATATTCGTTCATCAGCTACCTTACATAAAATACCAGTAATAAACATCTCTTAAGAAGCTTCATGAAAATCAGCTTCACAAGAGGAAAACTGGTGCAGGATCTCAGCCATTTCTACATGCACACATAAGGGAGAAAAAATGGACTTACTAGGGATTGTTTGGTCACTTGTGTGGCAAACAGATTTCTCAATGAGGCTGTCTCTTACTGTGGGAACAAAGAGAAATGGAGAAGGCACAAAAGCTCCATCTTCATGACTTTTATCAAGAATTTATTCTTTTCTGCAAATGAACTTTGACTCCTCTGCAAGCTTAAAAGATAAAATTACTTCTTATACTGTACTGCTGACCCTTCCTCAAGCACACCAGTTATTCCCCTGAGGCAGGACTGCTGAGTTTTCTGCCTTGACTGTGACTATTGTAGGAAGAGAGCATATAAATAGAAATTCTGCTGACTCAGTTGTTTCAGTGGGGCGTAGCGCTATTAGCAGAGTACCCTGTGTTCCCGCATAGCTACGTGCACCTGCAGTTCCTTCCTCACTCTGCAGTAGTTCCCTTTAGAACTTTTTTTAGCCTTGTTGTGGCTCTGAGAAGCTTAATTGCATTTAGAGATACTTGATAACTTTTTCTTAATTCTTAATACTTGGAATATTCACAGCTTGCCTTAAGAATAATAAAATGCTCCAAACTAGAGACTGGCTTAATGTTTTGCCTACATGCATATAAATATGTCTGGCCATCACTGTCCTGATCTGTTTGCAGTGTCCTCTCTCCTATTTCCCCTAGGCAAGACTTGTTTTGTTTCCACTTCTGGTAGAAGGTTTTAAATGTTTCTCCCCCTCTTCCTGTCTAAAATCAAGCTCATGTTAGCATTAATATGTTTTCCAAACCTTTATTGTCTTGAACAGTTCATTTTGTATTCGGTTTTTTGTGTGTGTCCCATCCTGTGTCCATCTGTCTTCCTTGTACTTGCCCACCACATGTGACCTAACTGGTCTATCAGGGCGGATTGTAATCTTGCTGTAGGTCTGGGAAGTTTCTGTTGGAAGCCAGCCCCTTGAAAACACAGGATAAAAGGTGAAAGTGCAGCTAGGATGAACATCTCTCCTGTGTATATTGAATAAAGCTCAGGGAACTAACAAATATAGATTGAACGTGTGGAGAAGAACACTGGAGAGCCAGTAATTCTTTGATAGTTAAATGAAAGGTCACTGTGTATTCATGTATTTCTACAGTCTTCAGATAATGCAATTATAAACTAATGTGTAATGAATTAAGAACCAAGTGGTATGGTATGCAGCAAGACCCCACTTGGCCCAGAAGAACCAAGATCCTACACGAAGATATGTGATGACAAAATTAGATCATGACACTTATTTAGAAGGGCAGAAGATAGGAGGTACTGAAAGATAAATTCTGTTGGACATGTCGCTGTTTCTGAAACTGTTCTGATCATTATGCTTTCAATATGGTTAGTGGTTTTACATTCATTCTCAGGATATTCCTGTGGATTCACTGTTCAAGCATAAATTTTAACCTTTCCTTTAATGAAGCCAAACATTTGGGGTTTTAGTCCAAACAGAAGTGACATGTGACTATTATATTTCATAATAATTGTATATTTTGTTTTTTTAATTTAAAAGTAAAGCAAAAGTGGAACCCAGTGTATTTGCTATTGAGTAGAGCCCAAATATTTTGGTCATCTTCAGATTTTGCAGAAGTGTTACGCTGAATCTACTGTTTCTGTGCACCAACTTCCCTCTAGTCTTGTTTTAGAATGCCCTTAGTAAATCTCATTGCCTGAATAATCTTTGAAGTTAGTAGTATGCTGTTTAGTTGGTTGCTCTGTCATTGTATTTGAAAACAGAGTATAACTTTTTTAAACTACCTCACCAGTTTCTAACATTTCAGTTATTCAGACTTTGGGTACGTGTTTCTTCAGGAATGTTTAATTAATAATCTACTGTAACATCTACAAGTTACTTGGACCATAGTTTCCAGTTCACTAACTTTTTTGCAAGGTACACACAGCTGTTTCTGGAAATACTTCTATGGATTAAAAGAGAAAGTCATCTTTATAAATTAACTTCCCCACATACTCTAAAGACACATTACACATTGCTAAAATACCTTTCTAATCAAGATTATATCTTGATTTCCTCTGGCTAATAAGTCTCTTATTTTGTGAACTGGCCTAGCTTCCAGAAAATGTACAGAAATTCCCTTATCCTGTAAACCTAGAGTGTGGAACTTGGAACTCTTTTCTGTGACATGAGGAAGCATAGGTTTTGAAATATCTTAGATTAGAAAGTAAATGGAGTTCAGATCTGTGGCTTTTACCTAAGATAAATGGGAATCATAATGCCAGCATAACTGTGTAACCAATGTGTTAGTAGAAAGGTGGAATTCTCTCCCAAAGCAGCTTGAAATCCATAGGTGAGGTATTTGATGGACATAGCTTCCAGATGCCTCTTAAATGATTATACTGAAGAAGAATTAATTAACTTTAGTTGCTGCTTCTGACACTACATTGCAGTTCCATTCCAGTGCTACATCTTTCCATGTATTTTATAGGCTATGCAGGCATTTAATTACAACTACAGATCTCAGTCTCTAAGTCAGCTGTATAAATTAAATACTCTGGAATTAACATGAAAATATTGAAGATCCTTGTTGAAGAGGGCTTGTGTTGTTTCTTTTTAGACCTGAGAGGCAGGTTGCTGTCAGCCCTTCTATGAGCCAGCTTCAGATTACATATAGAACTTCGAAAATTTTTGTGCAGTACAGTGCTATTTAAAACATCTCGTGGCATTCACAAAAAGCATCCTAGTTATCTGAGAAGAAAATCAAAAGTGGTGGCACCATCGAATTAATTTGAGAGAGAATGCTCCCTGCTAGTTTGCTCAGGTTTTTTAGATTTGTGTTGAAATGTAAGAGTGTTTCATGAAGACTTTTCACATAATTAGATATTTCCCCCTTTATTATAATCACCTTCCTAGACCAGGCTCCAGCCAGTCTGCTTGGAACAATTGCACTCCCTCGTAACCTGGTCAGGTCTGCTGTTCTCTCTTTCTGTGTTTACAGCAGCTCTCTTCTATCTTAATAGCACTAGTGCTAAAACATATTAGGCTCAGACTGACTGAGTTTTGAGCTTTTGTGAATTTTACCTTCTTGAATGAAAAATCTAGTACATTTCTCTTTATTTTTATTTTCTTCTCCAGACTTTTGCCATGCAAGTTTTTATCAAAGAAGAAAAAAATATATTACTAGTATCTTTTAGATCATGAATCAGGAGTGACAAAGTTTTAAGTCTTTCCTTTGAATAAAAACAAATTGTGTAAAGGGAGAGACACAAAGCTGAAACCAAATATAAATACTGTTCTCTTCTAAAAACCTGCTCTTTACAAACTTAATTTTTACTTTTTAAATTGTCTTTAAAGTTTGAGGGAAGGTTGATTCTGATGGGCTGTAGTACAGCCTTTACATCATCTTTTTTGAATTGAATCAAAAGAAGTATGTGTAGAATATGGTTACTGTGACACTGGGTTCATATACTCTGTGGCATGAATATACTCAGGTCATGCTGCTTGTTCCCAAGAGTAAAGCAGAAAAAAAACTATGTGCTTATGTTTGTAGATTTGGGTTGGGAATGAGAAATAGAGAAGCTGTCTGTCTTACATGTGCTCTTGCAAGCTTTGAAAGTACAGCTAGAAATCAAATGCAAAAGTTTTTTTCTATTTTTTTTTTTTTCCTGAAATAAGCTCGAAATAATGGTATCATATTTTAAGTACTCATTTTATTTGTGTTTAAAAATATTTGGGTTTTAAGTGCTGAAGTAGAAAATTTCTGACTCTGGAGATTGATCTTGTCTATATAAGACAAATAGATTTTATTGTCTTTTAAGAATTTGTTTTTAGAGGTGAGAAAAGAAACATTAAGCAAACATGTATTTTTGAGTAGCAATGAATTAATGTTACACCCGATGACATCTAGATAGATATTAAAAGATTTTTTCATTAAACAAGAGACATACAGCTCTATTTATGCCCTGAGAATTTAAATTTTGGTCATGTGGATCTCGTTTTCTTCTGTCTTGAGTCTGATTCTGCAACATTTTCCATTATGTGCCAAAGTAGATGTTTCATATTGGCATGGAAGTCTTACTTTAAATCTCCAAATGAAGAAATCCTTCAGAACAGTAACCCATGGGGTGTTTTTTTAAATGAAACTTACTTAAGCTGTAGGCACTTTATTTACAGTTTTTCAGGTCTTTGCTGTGCTTATCCCTGTAGATCTTGGGGAAGGTCTACCTAAAAAGCTTTGGGAGTGCATATTTTGGATAACCTTGTGGGGGAGTATATGATCTTCACCAATGATGTGGAGAGTTCTGAACCATAGCAAAGTGCACTAAAAACTACTGGAGTTTTGAAATACATCTGCATTGAAAAAGCTTGGTTTCCATTTCCAGGCCTTGGAGAATACACATATGAGGATACTTCCTCCCCAGCCCCTATGGTAGTTCACATGCTTGAGCATCAAGAAGCTTTGGCAAAATTAAGTTTTACAATTTAAAAATTCACTATTCATGCAAAGCACAGGACTCTTTCAGGGAGAGAAAAATGCTTCTGGGGATGGTTGGTATGTTTTTTATTTGTTTTTTATATTTCTGGATGTAACAAATACTATTGAAGGCCTGGATGTTTATAAATTTGTGTCCCACTGCTAATTGAAACCTATAGCTTTTCAATTTTCTCTCAGGTAGGGCAGGCATCAAGTCTTGCTTATATAGATATCTGATAACACATACAATTTTGATGCAACATATTTTTCCCTTTTCAATGCCCTTTCACTTATATCTTCTGTGTTAAGCAATCTGTTTGCATACTGGTTTAGATGGGAAAAATCAGTGTCACCCCCTCAAATGTGTTGTTTCCTTGAATCAAGTTGAAAACAGTTACAGTGTTGGATGGGATGTTTGCTTGTTTTGTTAATCATAGCTTGCTACATAAAATATGAGGGTTGGAAGTTATGGGTGAGTGTTGCTTTTTGGGCTGGAGGGAGTTGGTTTTGGGATTTATAGTTTGGTTTGTGTGTCTTTGAAAACCATAGCTTCTACTCAGTGAAGTTTTAATCCAGTTTTTATCTCTAGTGGTAAAATTGTTACTGGGTATGAATTTTCAGTGGATTAATCCCTTTGGGACCAGAAATTCATTGTGATGCTATAAAATCAGGCTTGCAGTACTTTGTTGATGTTTTGAATGACACTGCACACAAAATAGACTGTTAAAATAGTTGGTGTTAATGTATTAGAGATCCCCTAAAGAGCACTCACACCTGGAAAAGGCAGTGGTGTGAGAAGCTTTCGTTTTTAACTGCTCTTTCAAAGAGGAAGCAAGTTTAAAATCATCTAGGGGAAAAAAGGACGATTATTTGATGCATCTTAGAACTGCAGAATAATCCTTTTTTAATTTGTGCAACAACTTTTCCTGCAGACCTACAGCAAACAGATTCCCTTTTATGTTTTCTTCTAGGCAGTTTTACCTACATATTGACCATTTAGGGAGATCCGAGTGGAGAAACAAAAAAAAAATTTAATGCTGAAGGAGTTTATATGTGCAGAAAGAATATTATCCTTCTAAAGGCAGAGTTAAAAGGCAATAACAGTTGAGAGGAGATGATTACTGATGGGTTGTAGGGGGAATAAATAATGAAGAGCAAGAGATAAAAACCTATTTGCCTATGTAATAATTAGACAATGAAAGGAGAAAAGGAACACAAAGACTATATAAGAATAACCCGAGTACCAGTATATATGTATATATCTTTTTTAAGTTTGAGGAGTTTTCTCAATGTAGTTGTTTATACTTAAACTAATTTTACCATATCCTATTATATATTTTTTTCTTTTAAAAAGCCACATATATAACAAAACAATCAATTAAAATTCGAAAAGTGCATCAATGAAATGATATAATATCATTGAAATGATAGAATATTGAAATTCCTCATTCATCTCTCAGTCTGTGTAGGCCTTCATCATCAAATACAGAGAGACACGTTGTCTTGCTGGGAGCTTTATTATATTGCTATGGGAACAGATCAATGCATCTCCCTCCATACTTTCTTGTTCACATTGGATTTTTTTTTTAATCAATAAACACTCAGTATAACAATGTTGCTTAAAATAATTTTTGCCAGTAAACAAAATATTCAAATACAGTTTTAAAACCAGACACTTTGAAGGGGACATGATAAGACTTTCCAGTACCTGAAGGGAGCCTGCAAAAACGGCTGGAGAGGGATTATTTGACAGCACATATAGTGACAGGAAGAGGCGGAATGGCTTCAAATTTAAAGAGGGTGGATTTAGATTAGATACTAGGAAAGAATTCTTTATTGTGAGGGTGGTAAGGCACTGGAATAGGTGGCCCAGAAAAGTGGTGATTGCTCCATTCCTGGAAATATTCAAGGCCATTTTGGATGGAGCTGTGGAGCAGCCTGGTGTAGTGGAAGGTCTCCCTGCCCATGGCAGGGGGGTTGGAACCTTTGAGGTTTCTTTCAATCCAAACCATTTTATGATTCTATGTGAAGACTGTGACTTCGCTTTATAACTGATTGTGCACGTATACCTGTAATGATTTTTGTAGCCAAATAATTCTGTTAATTATTCACAGTTACTGGTTTTTTATAGTTGAACATGAGCCACAAATGAATTTTTGTTTAGGTGCAGGCGGTAGTATATTCATAAACCTTTTAAGTTTTATTAATTTCATTTTTTTAAACAATTCTCTTGTATTACTTTCTCTTGTCTAGTAGCCTTTCTGGGAGAAATCTGAAAATCTGCCTGAAAGCAGCATGAAGTTAGTCTAGTCCTAAAACATTTTGTAGATCTCAGTGATCTACAAAAAAATCCAGTAAAACCTCATATCAGCACACAGTGCATTTTGGGGGGATGTGACCTATTTAATTTGCTGAACATCTACCGAGTCTGTACTGGTGGCTGCAGATATGAGATACTTTCGTAGCTATGAGATTTTTGAATAGGAAGATTGACTCAGTAAACCAATAGTGTCTTCAACCCATGCCATTTATCAGCAACCACTAGTGAATAATTTGGCTGTAATGGAAATGAAGTTAAAATTATATCCTTGTAGCAGGAAGAAATTTGAAAAGAGACCCCTGTGAAGTATGTTTTTAGGTAGTTCACAAATACTCCCTTTTGTACTCAAATTTAATATATTGGTCATTGATATCTTTTCCTTCTGTTTTCTTTCTGAAAGGTGGTCTTGGAATGCACATTAAAGAAAGACCTTGTTTACAACAAAGTTACTCCTACTTTTTACCACTGGAAGATTGATGACAAAAAGTTTGGCCTCACATTTCAGAGTCCTGCTGATGCAAGAGCATTTGATAGAGGTATTCGGAGAGCAGTAGAGGATATTTCTCAAGGTACATATTTCAGGTGAAAGACTTGGTGGGATGGAGGAATATTGAGTGTTTACTAAAAAAGATGTCAAAGCACTTTGTGTAACATTTACGTTGACAGTATTTAAGGATGTGGATTAAACTATAGTATATTAGGATTTTAATAGTTTTCGAAATAGTACTTCTGGCATTTCTAAAGTGCCATTCATTCAAGTGTCTTAAATTGTTTCACAAACACTAATAAAGTAGTTTCCTGAAACATCCCTACGTAATAAAGCATTGCCTCTTTCTTTTAGACATGAAGAAATGGAGGAAGTTGGAGTGTTATATTCTGTCACTTGGATCTTAGAAGCTTTTTGCAAGTCCTGTGTTCTTGTAGGATAAGCTGGGAAGTTGAATGATTTGTGATCTGTTGAGTTCTCTCCTTATCTGCACGTACTCTCAGTTAATAGTTTTATTTTTTACTAACAGCTGAGTTAGTAGTAGTTCTGTGTTCAGTATAGTTCTGAGGACAGGCTTTTTTAGGAACAGAAGAAGAATGTACTCAGACAGCAGTGTGGCCAGCTGGTTCCAGAGCTTCACTGAATTAATGGAAACCAGTGAGCAAACCATTCATCAAGCCTAGATTCTGAGCTGAAAATAAAATAAATGTATTCCTGGGAGGAAAGAGAACAGGTGTCTACTGAATTGAAAGAACATCTCTTTCAGGCTTGTAAAAAGTAACTTTAGGGATTTTATGTGTTTTATCCTACTAATGAAGCAAGGAGCATGTTTCTGAAGGGAACTGCTTTTTGACATGCTCTAACGACTGCTTTGGAATTGTGTTGGTATGATCCATATCCCTTCAAGACAAATAATTAGAGAACATGAGAGTCTTTTTTTTTTCTCTTAGGGTCTCACAGTTTCAATTTCTGCTGATTTATAGCAAAATACCACACAGTGTGTATTCATGCCAACGAAATGTCTGTCTTTAATTTTCAAAATGCTACATTAAAAGGAATATACTCCCTTGCTTCTCACTGGTGATGACACTTTGAGAATGCTTTTATAGGGAAGGTGGGAACAAGAGAGAGGAGTGTGGCCAGGAATACTCAGTATAGAAAAGGCAGGGTGTAGAAATGAATTATGCTTACTAAATCAACTTGAAATGCAGTGATCTATACGTTTAAAAAGTAAACAAGAATATTTATATCATCGTCACTGGATATTGAGAAGTGATGTGGATTACTGGAAGCAGTAAGTGGTAAATATGAAGAAAATAACCTTGTCTACTTTTTTCCTTTATATGAAGGTTATCCACCCTCCCAAAATGATGTTGAAGTGGCAGAAGACTGCTTTCAAGTGAGTAAATTTTTAAATTAATTGTACATTTTTTTCTTTTACAAATGTACTCAACAGATTTTGCTCTCATTAGTGAGAATAAGTAAAATAAGAGGAATAGCAAAATTCAGCTTAATGAGATAAGTTCCAGAAGAATTATCGCGAAGACTTACAAGATTGTCTGTCCTAAACGAAGTAGTTGTTATTTAATCCATAGGATCATTAAGTATCCTGAGTTTAATTTTTAAGTTTAAAATGTCTGTTCAAGTTATATATCCTCTTTGATCTTATTGAAGTATGAAATATTCTTCTGGGAAACAGAAAATAGAGGGATAAAGAATCTTTTTACTTGTACATCTTGTTTGTTTTCCTAGATTTCACTTTGCAGAGCTAAAACACGTCTAACATCAAATAGTTAGAGCTGAAAAGATTCTGAGACAATGGTTGAAAGAATCAGTCCAAACAACGACAGAAGTTCAGACAATTCTTAAAAACACACTGAAGATAAAGTAGTTGCTTGTTGAGATTCAAGTTTTTATTGATTCTTTTTTTGCACTATTCAATTTCTGTAGGTCATAGTCATCCCATATACCATAAATACTGTAACACTGATGCAGAGCACTGCCTGGTAATATCCAAGAATCTAGGTAATTAAAAAGCCAGTATAAAAAAATATTATGGAGACACACACAGGGGAAATAACTATAATATAACTGAGTAAATCCTACTTGTGTCTATGTATGCTTGTTATTTTTTCCTCCTTATTTATGGTTTTAGGGAAACCCAGGTCTTCATTCCCACATGTTTTCAGAGTGCAGAAATTCAAATTAATATGAAGATGGTAAATAAACAAGTTAACTCGGGGGTCTTAGTGGCTATTCAGAAAACTGATAGTGTTGCTAAGTGATTTCTGCTGGGAAACAGTCTTTTCACTTATGCAATGTTAAATCCTGTGTCAGTGTAAATAGATCTGGTGTAGAACCTCTAGAACACAAAATCAAGAAAATTTAGCAGCTGACTTTGAAGATATTATGATAGGAGACTGAGAGTCAAGTATTTAGAAAGGATACTGCAATGCAGTGGCAATACAGAAGTCTCCTGATATCTTTTCATTTTGTAGTAGAAGAAATGTATTTCTTTGTGTAAGTGTTGTCTGTGTAACCACCTATTTTTCTTTATTTACAGTGCTTTTTTTAAGGCACTTGAAAGGAAAATTGCTATAAATATTAGATATTTCAGATTTTAAAAAGAAATGAGATTTTGACAGGGCGAAGGAAATATGTGCCAAAGTTAATGCAGTCCTTAATCAGCTCTTAAAAGACTTGCTTAAATATGCTTTGTTGCAAGGATTAATAATTGAACAGTTTCTACAGGCCTAATGAGATAAGAACAAACCAATTACCTCTTGATTTTGCTGCCTAGTTATTATTTTCTATATAAGGATGTCAAAATTGAGGAAAATACCTGAGATTCATTATAGTTACGAAATTGTTACTAAGAAAGTGAAGAAAAGTGTATTTACAACATATATTCTAGATATATGTGAATATCAATACACCACCTATTTACATATATAAATATAGATTTACTTTATATTCTATTTTAAAAAATAAATGTATATATTCTTAAATGTCTGTAAACTAGATATTATATATATAAATACTCATGCACAATATATATGTATTACAGGTATAAACAATCTTGTGTGGTACAAACTGCTGGCAGGACTATCTTTTACATTCTCTACAGGAAAACATACTTAATGACTTCATCACAATAGATATTGCTTAACAGTGGATCTGTGGATAGATGTCATGCTTTCTAGAAAAAAACCTAGCCAATATCTCTTACCATATCTGCACACCAAAGTGAAATAAGTGATACTAGCATTGCCTATCAATACCAGAAGGGAGGAAAAAAAAAAGAAATGCAAAGAAGACTGAATCCACCCTGGTTTAGCTATGCTCCATCTAAATCAGGTTTATTTATCAATAACAAAGCTGTAATTGCAGGGTTATGAACATGAGTGTAGAAAAGCTTTACACCATTTTAGTTACAGGCATCAGGTCTGGTCTCCAAGAATACCTTTGAAATACCAGATAGTGTACATTCCCTTTCAAATTTTCAATTCCCCCCTTTCCAAGACTGATACTCTGATAAGTGATACTGGATACACCAGGGTCTTTTTAACTTGCTGCATAAGACCATAATTCTTTAAAGGTAACATTGAGTATTTGAAAAGTAATGTTGACTTGTCCCCGTCTTCTTGCCTCCTCTGCATAGTTTAATGATTTTTTTGTTTCCCTGTTTATTTTATGAGCTGTTTTCCAAAGTCTCTATTAGTATTTTTGAGTATGTTTTGGAGTATATCTATGCAAGGGCATTTTGGAGTGTGGATAGAATATTAGAGTAGTTTTTTTCTATACTGTTCTAGTCATCTTACACAGCAGGAATCCTATATTTAGTAGTAGAATCCTATATGTGAAGTATAAATATAGTATTTAGTTTATATGTAAATTTCATTAACCGTGGCTTGTTTCTGTTGTTTGGTTTTTTAATGAAGGTGACTAGATGATGAAGAAAGCTAAACATGCTTCAAAAGTTGTTTTACTAGCTGGCTATGTTTGGTGCTACAGAGAGAAGTAAAATGATCCACAGAAGATAAAAAATTATCATCTCAGCGTGAAATCTCAATACTTCCTTGTAATAAGTATTATCACATTTTATAGAAGTAGTTAGCAGAAATAATGATTGTCCAAAAGTTATATGGGCATATCTTAAATGTAAATCCAAAAACTGAGCTCTTGTCTTGTGCCTTCTAGGCTAGTAATTGGCTTGCTATATTATACCATGGCTCACTAAATTTTTGAATTCTTAATTTGCGTTTTGTAAATAAAATCTCCCAGAGAAAGCATTCTTTTTGCTGAAGATCAAATTTATCATTTTAAGAAGACATAGCTTCATTATAGTTTCTTTAGGCTCTCTGTTGTTTACAAATAATGTTATAATCCTAGTATTAAAATAATATTATCACTTAGGGGTATTCATGGTTGCTTAAATTATTGCAGTTATTTTTAATTTTTTAATTAATTTATTAGTTGCAAATTGTTTGTATCATCAAGTAAGCCCTAGTCTTACCAGATTCATTTCAAATAGAAATACACAATTGAGTTAAGGCAGAGCTATCTGACTTCCTATAATGTTGGTAAATGGAAAAGTACATGTACTTACATGGAAATATGCGTTAGGAATTTGCTTTGTTAGGAAGTTTACATCTTTTTGGTATAAAACCTTGCATCTTGAATGTAGTAAATTATCAGCTTGAGTAAGTCAGTTTGTTGTTTGTTAAAGGACTGAGGTTCTTTTCCTCTACCAAATATAAACTTCTTGCTCTAAAACTCACCTAGCTTAACTGAAAAAAAAAACAAAAAAGAATTTTTAGAAGTAAATCTAAATTAAATTTAGAGCTCATACAATTAAAATTATTTTTGTGGAGGTTTTGGATCCTGTAATGCCTAAGTCTTGCTTTTGTGAACTGAAAAATAGAGTAGTTGATCTTTAATTTTTTTCATTTTTTCTTAATTCAGCCATATTGGTGTTATTTATAGGCTACCAACACATTTTAACAGTTTTGAAGTAATAAGAATTGGATCACTTATGGTTTTGAGTTTCTTACTACTGGCAGAAGAAAACTGTAGACTGATAAATTGTAAGCAGAAAATAAAAAGAAAGTTTGGCTTGTTCTTTCAGAAGTAAGTACATTGGACTTTTTGTTAATAGGAAGGTGGAAAGGCCTGCAACTTACACGCAACTTAAATGGTTTTGGTTTAGGCAGGGAAGTCATTAATTGTTCATGTGCTGCTCTGTAAATTCACTATTCAGTGACCTCTTCATAAGGACCTTCAATGACCACTTAATTTATTTTGTCTCTAACAGAATGTTTGCAGAAGTTTTATTTTACAAAATTAACCTTATGACTTGTAGGAAATGTGAAATAATTTACCCTTGACACACCCTAATTTTTTATGGATAAGACAATACTACATGGTAAAGCACTAAAGATTAGAAATATTTTGAGCAGTCAATAAATTGCTTAGGTACAGTTCTTAGAACTAAAAGTTCTGATTCATATTATCAATTTCAAATAAATATATTCATATATTGTGCTAAATAATTTTGGTTCATTTAGCTTTTTTTTTGTTGGAGTTTTATATAAAAAACAGAAGGAATTAGATATTTTTTCCTCACCAGTATTTCTAGCAACCTCCTTACATGTAGTGTTTTCAATATATTCAGGTGGAAAAGCCTTTGCAGAAAGAGGCATGTCAAATGTCTTCTGTTTTAGTTTAAACTGTGCAAAATATTCAGAGTAATCTAGGTAATATTTCAGCCTATGTCAGAAACACTTATCTGAAAATAATAGTTTCTTTGCCAAATATATTGCTCCATCAGTCTCAGAAATGGCCAAAGCAGAAGGAAGTCATTCAGATATTTTTTAAACCTGTATCATTTATTCAGAATTGAAAAATTAAGGAAAAAGCATTTAAACATTTCTTGTGTTGTTAGCATCAAACAGCAGATTTTTGGGTCTCGTGGGAAGTAAATGCAAGAACTGGGATGCAGCGGAAATGTGGTCTCTCATCCATCCTTCTGTGTAATCATTAAACTTACTTAGAGGAGAACATTTTTAACAAAGTTTGCAGAACAATGTTGAATTCTCTCCCAGACTTAACTCCAGCAAACTGGGAGAAGTAAGGAGAGAAAATTTGAAGAACAAGAGAAGCTCAGTCTGGTTTTCATTTTCTCTACAGCTGTCATCTGGCTTTGAATTCTGCTGGAGAGCTACAGCTGGAGTCATTTTATTGCTTTACCCAGCATCCTTTTGCTTGTGCGCACAGAAATGTTTTAGTAGTCTTGGAAAAAAAATTCAGAGTATCTCTTAGCAACCATAGGACAGTAATTATTATACCAGCAGCTGGGAGCAAACCAGATTTCCGTTGTGCATTAAAAACTGGCGTAGGTTACTTTACAGATGATACTGAATAACCTATGCCAGTACTGTACTTTGCAGGCTGTGGTTAAAGAATATTGAATGTGGGCGGTGTAAGTGCTTTGGACAGTAGAAAAGAATGTGTGCATCTGTGTTAGTGTGTGATATTCTGTATATGTTCTTGTGGAAAACTTTATATGTTTGCTTCTTGCTTAAATGTATTTTCAGCACAGTACCATTTTTGTTTCTGGGTCTTTCTACTTCAGATTGTCAGTGTTTCCATTATAAATGTGAATTTTCAGGTGTTTATGACCTTGTAATAAAACATCACATTGGAGCAGGAAGTGTTATCCAAGAAAAGGGTTTTGGATACTAATAAATGGGGGTTGGCTATATCAAAACTACAGTTTAATTAAAAGCAGAGAGTTCAGCATGTTCATCTGTCATTTCTATAATTCAGCATAGTGAATATTTATTGGCTAAAGAACTGACATGATTGCTTTTCATTTTAATACCAGAAGTCAGTCTGTGTCCACTTACTCGTAGTGTATAGGTAGGTAAGTTGAGCATTGTGCTTTCAGAAATGCTGTCTAGCGAGTTCTTGTCTTACAAAAGGTCCCATGCTTTTCTCTGTCTGCTGCCACCCTGAAATTTGTCCTTGAAGTCAATTAGTTTGAATTGTGGTATCTGTGTTGGAATTTTTTGAAAGCATTCTTTGATAATTGCTATGTATAGGGCACAAAGGTTTGCTTTAAGATTAAGGTTTGGGTGTCGTACATCATCTGGCACTGCTAGTTAGCACAGTAAGAGATCTGTGCCTGTGTCCTTCATTAGATGGAGCCCCCCTTGACTGCCAAGGGGGAGTACTTGTGTCTGCCTGTGTGAGCATGTGCATGTGTCCTTTTTGCTCTGTAGTGTAAATAGTTTATTTTTAAAGAAGAAAGGTATGAATCACCTGCAGGGACAGAAAATAATGCAGGCTGCTGCAAATCTCACCCAGGGATAGACTGGCTTGTGGGTAGTATATGTTTTTTCTCTGGGAAGGAAAGAGTAGAAGTTTTTGCACCTTGCTCCCTTCTCCCTAGACCACTAAAATTTATAATAGCCAGGGGAAGGGGAAAGGGGATGCTTATCACTGTAAAATGGCTTCTAGCTGTTAGCTTTAATTCTTGTAGTTATTTTAAACATTGCTCAGACCAAAAATGGTCGTAGGCATTTCTTCCTCATTTTGAATACAGCTCTTCTGTGGTTTGAGCCACTGTTTTGGAAGCTTTTTATGTCATTGAGCAATGTATCTGCAGGAGTACCTCCTGCTATGAAGATGTTTGCTATTGAACTAATATTTTATACTTTTTGCTCTTAAAATAAGTGTACATGTATGAAGTCTAATTGCTGTCAGTCATTCCAAAATTTCTTTTATACTCCTTTCCCAACAACTTTTGACCAGAAAATTTAATTTTGACAATAACAGGCGCAATTACTTTGTGGTGTTTGTCATGCTCAAAGATCTGCAAATCTTTATGGTGTTTTGCCTGTCTTCATAATTTTTCAGGGGAACTTTAACCTGGTTGAGTGAGCTTTTGTCTTTCTTGGGGTGTATGCTCTCTAGTATTAATTTTGCTGATTATGAATTAATTCCTAAATTTTACGTTGTCTCACAAGTTGCTTCTGAAACAATATATGAATTCTTAGTGATGTGATGATTTTCTTTCTTCTCCAAAATCAGCTACAGACCAGCTAGTTCATATTGCCTAGATGCTTTAGAACTTGATACATTAGGCTTTTATGTATGTGAGGTACTAATTTAATCCTGGAATAAGTTCCTCAAGTATTTTGATAAGTGAAAACTAATGATTTTTCAGTTAATACTTAACCTGCCAAAACTTCAGGTTTGCCTCTGTTTTTCTGTAGTATTTTTATTATTTTCCTCTAAATGTTTTCTTGATACATACAAATCCTTATAATAAAGCTGAAACATTCTCATTGCTGGAAGCTGGATGATGCCAGAATTTTCTGTGTTATCCATGATGACAGCCAGCTAACTTTACAGCAAACAAAGCATACAGTATATTTTTGGCGGCCCAGTGGAACTTGTATCAAAATGCTCTGCTGTATCTTAAGTATGTCCCAGTCAGTCAAGCTTAAAGAATGAGAACTGTTTGTTTTTCAATTCATTTCAGAAATCGAATCATCTTACAAGCCAGTATTCTGCCCAAACACACTTCCCCTTCCTTCTTCTGAATGGCACAAGTCCTGCAGCTCTCTCATCATATATTGCTTCATGGTCTCATTTTTGTATCAAATTGCCTGATATAACTTTAATTGCAAAAAGACAGTTATTACATTTTTAATGCACACTTGCTGCAATTATATTTTAATTGGCCATTTTAGGTTAAAATTTACTTTCTTTTCCTTTCCCGCTGATTTTGCTTTTAATTTATTAAAAGATCTGATTAGCTTTTGCCTTATTAGTCTCAGATTTTATTTTTTTTCTCCAATTGTGTTTTTGTAAATAGTGGCAACCTCGTGGGTAGTTAGAGAAAACTTCATCTCAGAGACAGGTTAATCTCCACTTCCTTAAAGAAGTCTGATTTGGCAACTGTATTTCAAAAGCATGTATCTCTAGAACCCAAGTTGTATAGTGTCTGCAGAGAAATTCTGTATTTACCAAGGCTGACTCAACATAAAGAAAATACTTGCCTACTTCTCAGTGTTTTCAAAATTGTGCATTTAAGAATACTTGTGTTTATTAATACGTCTAACACATTATATAGAATATTAACACGTTCATATATGAACCTGTTGGTTTGGTGTTGTTTTTATATAAATGCAAAAATGATTTCAAGGGAGTTCTTATCTGTTCTAGGCTGCTCAAGAAAATACATCAGGTTCACTAATGAAAGATCACCTTTTTCAACATGAAACTGTAGTAACCAGTGAAACTTACAACAGTGCAAATTTAAGGCCTTCAACATTTGAGGATTTCAACACCAGGAGAGCCTGTTTACCAAGCCAACCTAACCAGGTAAGAATACCAATAAAAGAAGCAGTCCTTACTTTGCTTGCTGTATTAATGGCACAGTATGTAGTTTCTGACAAGAAATCACTGTGTTCCAAGTCCATATGCTCTCAACTTCTTGAAATGTTCGATATAAACTTTGCAGCTGAAATATTATAGCATTATTATGGCAGAGGTAAAACTTTGTGAAGATATTTACCTATCTTCGTAGTGCACCAGACTACATGAATAAATCTTTAATTTCTTTGAAGTCTGTTTTTGTATTGCAGATTTCAATATCTGCAGTCTTAAAAAGCTATTTATTTTTTTTCAGAAAATGTTAATTGGGCATTAGCTCAGTCTTGGTTACATGTATACTAATACTGTTTTGCTTAGAAATATTGAAAAGTATCTTTAAAATTGATATATTGGATGCACTGTACAGTAGGGCACTGTTGCTAAATATTTTTATTGCTTATACTTTCTAAATGCCTATTCAAACTAAAGTACTCTGTTTTGGTGCAAAAAGGAAAATATATATATATCAGTTATGTATGAAAAGTGTTCAGCCATTGTGGTACAGCTTTTCCTTTAGCACTGAAAGAACTGACACGTTTTGTAGACAGGAGAAGTAGTCTTACTACTGGTACTACTATGACTAAAGTTGGATTATAATTAATTTGGTGATCTTATGTCTAGAACCAGTCACATGGGAAGCTTTTAGAGTATGCTGAATAACATAAGTCAAAGTAGAATGCAAGTTCAAGTAGTTCTGAAGACATCAAAAAATCTCTCTGCTGCTTGAAATAAAGCTTTTTAGTACCCTCAGTTATTTTTGCAGAGAAAAATAGAATTGTACTTAAGTCTTATATCAGCTACTCTTAAGCTGCTTTATTGGGGAAAAAAAGCAAGCAGTGTCATCTGGAGAACTAAAAAGCTTGAAATGATTCATTTTTCATCTTTAATCACTGATCTACTCCAATTATCTCTTCGTATAAGTCACCTCATTTTTGTTTCTGTTAAGGTACATATTTTTCCATCTTCCCATTTACTTGCAAAGAGAATTGTAAATATTTTTTAGAATAGAATGAATGGCTGATTAGGTTATTGCAGCTAATATTTAAATGGCTACAGTAACTAGTGATTTATGTCCTGTTAGTCTTGCCTGCATTGTAAAGAAAAGTGCAGTAGCTTAAAATACCTGTTTAAAATACGTTTTAAAAGCATGTATAAAATCACCTACTGAGAAGGTGATAATTTAGGTTGTGTTAAACTGATTAGTCAGTGTCTGATAGAAATTAAGTAGAAATTTCTTTCAAATGACAATGTTAGAATTCAGTTTTTGAAAAGTGAAGATATGGGGGATTCCATAAAAATTTAAGTAGATATTCTCTAAAATACTGTTCTCATATTGTAGCACCACCTGCAAGCAACAGACACTCTGGTTTTTGTATGGTATTGCATGCATTTAGACATAGACAGGTCACCAAAACCTCACGTTCTGTATGTGCACAAACTGCACTGGCTCTGCTAAACTCCACACATGTGACCAGGTGACACAGCAGATCTTGAGCCAATTTCTGGGTTTGTTTCAATTTTGTGTAAATAAGTTTGAACACTCTTACTTAAGAGTGTGCTCGTAAGTTGAATAGCTCAAGAAGTGCATGCTCCAATTGAAGAAGTGGTTAATGATAATTCAGATTTTACCTGTAATATTTTGACTGTTAGTAAAAAAATACTTCAGCTTTCCAGCTTCTGATACACGGATGTGTGTTAAACGTAGCACTTTGCCATGATGTAGTAAGCTGCTGGTGTCTCCATTTTGAGAAGTTGCAAGGTGACCAAAATCAGGTGTCTCTTTGAGGAGAAACAGCAAAGGCTACAGTACCAAGGAAGTGACTGTGCCTTGTTTAAAGGTGCACCGCTTCAAGTAAGGTGCCATACTTGTGGGTTCAGTTGTGTCAACAAAAATTTTCTGCCTAATTTCCAGTTGTCTAATCATGTTCAGAATCGGATTTTCTGTGGAATTTCAGTTTGCTGTAACATTCTTCCTCCCTTCCTGCTTCAGCTTCACATAGATGACATTTGTACTGACTTTTAATTTTGACTGTTTAGAGGACTGAGTGCATTATTCTCATTAAATTTTGCTCCTGTTTGTACCTATCTGAATTTGGGTTGTGAATTGTTCCTAAGTTTTCATGTACTTCATGCATTCACATTTAATACCCAATGAGCAAGCTCTTTCTAACATTTTTCCAGTTTGCTTATTTTTCAGCGTGTTCTGCTCAAAATGTATTTCTTAATAGCAGTGCCATAAAGCATGTAGTGGTGCCTTATTTGCAACATGCCAGTTAAGCCTTTTTAGTTGTTGAGCTCAAAACTTGAAAAAAATAAATGTGTTCTATGTATATAATGTGTTCTGCTCAAACAAATAAAAAGCCTTCAAAGGCTAAGGAGAGGCCAGATTCTACAGTTGTTAGTGTTTGTAGTGATTTTTAATGGCTATTAGCTGTCTGGGCAATGGGAGGTCAAGGGTGGGTTTTTTGTATTGAGGTTTTAGGGGTTTTTCTTTTAAACAATGAGTTTTATTTACTGTCTTAAGTGCATGCATAATATTCTATGTGGACAGTGGGGTAAGGATCCTTTATGCTGTAATATATGGAATTCTAATAACTTTTGTGACTTTTTTCTTAAATAAATTTATGTGGTAAAATGTTCAAATAAGCGAATTAGCCATAGTTAATTATTTTTGCTAAACAATAGATTCTTACTCTTGTTTGAAAACAGAATAGGGCTGAGAAGCAGTCTGCTTTTATAAGCAAAGGGGAAGCCTAACTGCTTGCATAGGAGCCTGGGGAAGTATGGAAGAGAAGCAGTGTTAGCTGAGTAGGATATAACCTTTCCTCTCCCTGTATCCTTGAAATTTTGTGGAAGTTCAACTATGTGGCTTGGAGCCAAGAAAAAAAAAAATTGTTCTTGTTAGCATACTCCAGTTGAAAGTCCCAGGGCAAAGCATCTCTAATTACAGTTCTGTACTCATCACACAAGGATTGTTGAGCAGGGAAGTGATGGTTAGAGAAGGCTACAGATATTCTTACATAATCAGAAGATAGCATATTTTAAGAAGCTCTTCCTTCCTCTTTTCCAGCTGCCTTCCCTTTTCCCTTCTCTGTCTCCTACCCCAAAACCAGGACATGAAGACTTCAGCACACAGGAGCATAGACACATGCAAAGTGACATAGAAATGTTTTAACCTAAAACCTCATCTTCAGTAGTTTCACACTCTGCAACAGATTAGGAACATGCTGTTCAATTGTTGTACTTGACTATGGAATGGTGACACATTAATGCTCAGTCATTCGAGTACTAATAAGGTAAACCCTCTGAGAGCAACAATACTGATGCCAAAGATTATTCCCACATAATTCATGATTCTGGAAGAATTTGTAAGACTAATAGGTTAGGGAGTGGAAGGGTTTTTTGCCTTTTCTGAGAGATGGTTTACAGGCTGCGCACTTGACAGAGTAAAAGGCAGAATTTGACTTGAAACCCACTCATAATCTGGCTCTGATTATAATAGCCCTACAGTGTAGGAAAACAATTGCTGTATGTAAGGTAGAAATACTGGGGCATACTGAGACCCTTGCTTTTTTGCTGCACTGTCTGCTATTTTCAGGAGCTACTTTTATACACATGTGTTAAATTTTTATCTTGTCATTATTTGCACCTTTTCTTGCAAGTCACTTGTAATGTGATTCCAGTAACATTTAGTGGTAATCGACTATGTTACACTTAGATATCTAAGGCTTGCAGTATTTCAGTTTGGATGATTCTCTGAATTTTGTCATCTTTGACAACTTTTTCATGCCCCCACGCCCTTTCATTGTAAGGCAGAATAAACAAGAACTCTTATCTTATTTCTCTACTGGTTTTGTATGTGTTTAGCACATTCCTTATTACTTGCCTTTTGAAGTAAAAGGTCCTAAATTATGGTCAGTTCATTGCAAACTGAGAATTTAAGAAGTACTTTGGGTCTTTGCCTGCTGGTGTCCTAAACGAATCAATTTAAGTACTGTATATTAGCTAAGGGAGGACGCATTCAGAAGATGCTGTTATTGATTGATCGTCATGCTCAGTGTTAGTCTTCATACTGCAAAATCCTTGTCTGAAACACAGCTTTGATGATACGTTACCAGTATTCAATACTCTTGTTATAAATTGGGGAGAGTTTGAAAACTTAGAGCAGGAATTAAGGAAAGCTTCTCCTGGATAACACAATAGTGAATATGTTGGGGAGTTAGTCCTAAAGCAGCAAATCGTCACATGAAATCAGCACATAAAGCATAATTAATCTGTGGAATTAGTTTTCACTTTAAGATGTTAACACTCTAATTTTGAGCATAATTCACAGAGCAGCATCAAGTTTAATGCAGATAACAAAATATCCAAAGCTCTTATTAGACACTAAAAAATCGGGAAAGAGTATAAAGTTCATAGACGAAATACCCTGCAGAAGACTCGTTATTGTGGGGATGTTTGTAAATTGTAATAGTGAGAAAATAATCTGAATTTTTTTGTCCTCAGGCAGCAAGAGAAAAAGGTTTGGTTCTTTTCGTTTTCTAATGTAAGTTTTGCATTGTAGGTGGACATAAATCTGGGACTTCACCAAAGTAAACTTCTCTTACTTTGCCATTTCAGGTCCCATTTAAGTCAATCAGGCATGTTAGTTTTCAGGATGAAGACGAAATTGTCAGAATAAACCCTCGCGACATTTTGATACGTCGTTATGCAGACTACAGGCATCCTGACATGTGGAAGAATGACCTGGAGAGGGATGATGCAGACTCAAATATACCGTTTTCTAAATCGGACAGTAAAAAATCTGACTATTTATACCCATGTGGGGATGGAACTAAGTTGAATTCCCTAAAAGACTCAAAGAGTTCTGTGGTATTTAAAACTCAGCCTTCCTCATCAAAATTTAAAACCTCAAAAAGAAGAAAAGAGGATGGTGAGCGTTCCCGCTGTATATACTGCCAGGAAAGGTTTAATCATGAAGATAATGGCAGAGGAAAATGTCAAGATGCTCCAGATCCTATTAAAAGATGTATCTACCAAGTTAGTTGCATGCTTTGTGCAGAGAGCATGCTGTATCACTGCATGTCAGACTCTGAAGGAGATTTCTCTGATCCTTGCTCGTGTGACACTAGTGATGACAAGTTCTGCTTACGCTGGTTAGCACTGGTGGCACTCTCGTTCATTGCTCCATGTATGTGCTGCTACCTCCCCTTGAGAGCATGCCATCACTGTGGTGAGGTGTGTGGGTGCTGTGGAGGAAAGCATAAAGCTGCGGGATGAATCAGTCTTGTGCCAAACAGAGCTGAAAAATCTTTGTTTCCAGGAAGCATCTAACTTGGATTTGTGGAAGCTTTTTGGCAAGCTGAAGGGAATCTTCTTTCATGTAAGAGATGCTTGATGTGGAGGAAGCAACAAGACTTGTCAGACCTTGGCATTTTACAAGTGCTAGCCACGCCTAACTATTTCCTTTGAGTGCGTGGCATTTGTTGCGAGTTGTGAAGGAGATTTTGCAAAGGAAAGCCTGTTCTTATTATTGGCTATAAAATGAGTATATAAACTATGATTATACTAAAAGGGATTAACTTTTGCCACTTTGTACATTCATGGTTTAGGTGAGGGGGCTCTTTTAAAAGGATTAAAACTTATCTGAGGGGAAATTTTAACTAAAAGTGCACTAGTGACAGTTGATTTAAGATTAAGAAAAGTTAATACTCAGCAAATGAGAAATGAAACTGATTTTAAGTGCAACTAAATCACTTATTAATAGTTTTTTGGAAGCAACTTTATGTATAAATAACAAATGTTTATATTTAACTAAATGTGTAAGGTACGAATTATTACATGTTAAACTTTCCTTCCCTCCAATATAGTAGGTATGGACCATATCTACTGTCACATTCCATGGTAATATTTTAAATAGTTAATTTAGTTGCATTTTTATTCCAGATGGACAAATTGATATTTTCAGTCCTGGTTCCCTTCAGCTACAGTTTGTGTTGAGTTGTATCCATGCATTCTGATAATCTAAAAACCTTTAAAATATTAATTATTCTAGTCTTGAGTGACCAATATTTTTTTTGTTAAGCACAGATGTAATTGTCTAAAATGTTCTTGTTAGAACATAACATTTATTTTTATATATAAATGACTTTGATTTCAACATAATAGCAAAAAAGGATGTTGTTTCTGTTGTTCAACCAGCAAGTTGTTTTCTTTTGGGGTATCCTCCAAAAATACTTTCTTGCATATTCAAATGTTCATTAAGCGAAAGGTACATTAAGGCAGTTGTAACAAATTGTCATCAGTGTTCTTGTTTATCCTTCTGTTAAACTAGGATCCTGTTCAGCTGTTTATCAAGTACTATGATTAAAACAAAAGATTAATAACAAAAGTGAAATTGTTTTCATTATTTTGAACCACAACTTTTTCTCATTTGAACGGGCAAGAACAAAAGTACTGTGTGTTTTGTTCAAAAAGAACAACAAAAGACTTAGCTTGAGAAATAAATTACAGCCCAGGCAAAACTGAGTGACCTTCTTAATTGGGGAAATTTGAGGGTGGGGTTGGGGAGGGAGGCTGGAGAGCGAGAGTGAGTGCATGTATCTGTATGAGTGCTGGTACATATTGTGTGGTATTTCTTATGGTTTTGTATTTAGCCTAACTTTCAGGTAAGAATCAGTTAGCCCACAGAGAATTTTTAAAAGGATTACATGTTGTGCTGTGTTATGGAATAAGAATCATTTACTTCTTGTTAAAAACCTGTGAAACACTAAAAACAATCATAATTCATTAGCAAAGCTGCCTGTTTGACATCTTGGCTGGAGTGGGACACATAGTCTTTAGTATATCCTTGTTATTAAACACAGAATCAAATAATTTTATCTTTAAAGTGCATTACTTTTCTCACTTACATGAATTTCTTCAGTATCTTTTGTGTAATTTTTTTCTGTATGTATCAAACCCCTTAATTTTCCTCTGTAGCCCAGAAGTAAAATGAGCAAATGTATATAACTGTCTGTAAAATACTTTTTAAAAGAAAACATTTATATTTATATTACAGCTTGAATTGACCACCTGTGTACATAGATCATCTCAAAGTATTATTTCACATTGAAAAATATGACAAATAGCTTGATAACTATAGAAGTTATGGAAGAGCTTCTAGTTTTGTATTAAGAGTTGATTGGATGGCTGAAGTCCAAGAATATTACATGGTAGCAGCAGTCTTGGGTTTTACTGTTTACGTATTTGAAAGCTGCTACTCTGGTTGGTTTTCATGCTTCACACATGTTCAGCTAAACTTGGTTTCCTAAAATAGACTGTTAACTTTAAAAACTTTCATTTAAAAATGGTGATGTTTTTCTAGTGAATGAGAGGAATTTCATATTTTTAAGTGCTAGGTTCCTAATTCAAGATAGAGAGGTATGAACAACCTAAGAAAAGAACTTGCTGGCTGTATAAGAAAATGCTATATAATCATATTGTATATATACTTCAGAAATACATTAGTTTTAGCAATTTCCTCTGAGCACTATACAACATAGTGAAACTCCTGGTCCTGTACTGTATTTTATATGACACATATACTTTAATATTTTTATTAAATGTGTGCATTAATATTTTCACTTTGGATTTAACTATTTTGCTGCTAAAATGTCTTCACCTTTTGCTTTTCTCTTTGAAGACTTCTGTCATCTAAAAATGGTCACTGAATGGGCCCACGCTTGCTTGTTCCTGTTGTGCTGCAAGTGGCAGCCAGCTTGCCTGGTTTGAGAGACCAAAGGAATGCAAAGATCTGAGGTTGCATAAGGATTGCTTTTAGTTGCATGCACGTGTACTTTTTCTCTGGTGCTAGGGATCTTACCCACTGCTACATTTAGGAGATGAGCAGTGGAAGGTAGACATACAGCAAACCCATTCCAGAACAGCTTGTTGCATCCATACATCTGGCTTTGGCGGCACGTAACATTCATTCTGTGTCTTCTGAAATACTTTCTTGAGCGTTTGGAAATAGAGAAATTTCTTCCCCGATCCGTAATCCTTGCCCTTAACATCCGAGCTCTAGTTTGTCAGGCATGTCGTAGCAGAGCTTTGTGTTGCTAGTTTCCGAACCTTTGGAAACCGCCACTGAATATTAAGTCCCTGGCTCGCTGAAAGCCTCGGTTACGGTGAAAATCGTTTCCCCTTGGAAGTGGGGGCAGTGAAGGGAGAGCGGCGCTCGGGCTCCATCTACTGGGGGAAAGCTGCGCGGCCTCCGGGCACAGCTCCTGGGACACCGCGGTTACCGGCGGGCTGTCCGTGCACGGCTTAAGGTGCACCATTCATGCTTTAGCCATGAATTTCCAGAACAGTCATTTGCAATCTGACTCGGATGCTTTAGCTCGTCATGCCTCTTAAGTTTCATTATTAATACTAAAGTAAAATCCTTTAGCCATATATTTTGTTAGGTTTAAAATTGTTGTGATGGCCTGTTACTACAGGAGCATAAGAACCAGGAATGAAATGAAAATTCTTTTGATTATCAGAAAGGGGTTATAAGAAATGGGCTTTATTATTTTTTTATTATTATGATTATTTTATTAATTTCCCCTCTCCAAGTTCTTCCCACAGCAAAGTGATGGAGTATTGATGCTCATGCAGAGGGAATTTGGCCTTTTGGTTTGTGATACAAATCCAGCTGTGAGTATGCCCAGGTGGGTGTGTGCTCTCGCACGTGAAATTCAGTAGCCGTGAAGGATATACCTACAGCTGTGTGCATGGTTAAAGCAGTATCTAATAATAATCGACAATTATTATGGTAACTGTTTAGTAAACAGCATGATGTTATAAAACTTCAAGAGCTTATAGAAGCAATGTTTGAAACAGTCTTAACCAATGCAGTTTCCTCTAGAGAAGCAAAGGTATTTTGAAGAATGCCTTAATTATGTGTGTTGGAATATAACATTCCCATTTTGGATGAGTTCTCTTCGGAGTGATCTGTTTGTGTGTACCTGGAGGATAATGATGAACACTTGTGTAAATAATGCCCAGGTTTAAATTAGACTTTAAATCTTTTTCAAGCTTACAGCTCAGTGTGCAGCCAGTACAGCTATACATTCATGTTAGTAAAACGAAGATCAGGATCGCTGGCTGGCAAAAAAACCAAGAGCTTTAAAAAAATGCCTTATGGTACTATTAGTCTAGCAGCTGGGTGGATAAAACTTATTTACTTGGGTGCATTTACAAATATAAAGACAGGTTGAGGGGGCTGTTGGGTTTTTATTTTGGGTTTGGTTTATTTTTTCCTCTGAAAGTTTCCGTGAATTGTAAAAGTTGTGGTTCGTTAAAGAAATCAAAGCATATGGTGAAAAACCAGCCTTCATATTTAAAGCTGCAGTATAAGCTGTACGTGCTTTCCTTCTTTTGCTTGGTGCCATTTGCTTTTCACCCTAATGACCTCCAAGTGCCTCATGTGTATATTGTTTCCATTAAACCTCAACTGCTATTTGTGTCTACTAAATGATGTATAATTTAATTAATTCATCCCATAGGTGTTTGCTTAAAGAATATGAATATAGCTTGTTACTTTGAGTATATAATGTAAATATATCTTTAAGTTTGTAACTGGTTTGTTACATCATATCCTTGTAAGTTGACATAGTAGATAACACCATAAAAGCTGTTTCAATGTTTTTCTTGTAATTACCTGATTAAAACTATCTTGAAATGAAAAAATAATGTTTTTCCATTCTGTGTTGGGATTGCTCAGAACTGTGCACATGAAATGAAATGTTGCAGCTCAAGAACAGAATAAAAACAAGTAATTACAGGTATTACCTTCAAACTCCAGCATCATTCATTGCAGGAACCATTTTTAAGAGTTGCTGTAATGTTTTAAAGAAAAGTGTGCTTATACCAATTTGCTTTGTATGCACAGCAGTACTTGTCGTTGACATCATGCTGAGGAGGTCAAGATTCCTTTACATAAAACATATATAACTGAGTTCCCACTTGACCCCATCACAAAAATGCGTATCTCTAAATATAATTCTAAGCCTTATGTAAGTACAGAATAAGATATACGCCAGAAAGGAAGGGAGACTAATCAGTCCATGAAGAAAAATGAACAAGTAGAAATCTGTGAGATCTTAATTTGAAAGTTCAGTGGTCAGGGTTTAGGATAGATTATTTTAAATTGAATTGTATTTGCCTCTAGGTTTTACAAATGCTTTCTTATTGGTTACAGCCAATAAAGTAATTCTTCCTGTTCATTTGATCAGTTGCTAACTTGAAGAATTTTTATTGCCAGGTGTAAATGTTACATGGTCTATTAAGTGTAGATACTTGAGCATTTAATTGATGATGTGAAAATGCACCTCTACCAGAGAAATGAAACAGACAAATTAATTGAATGGCAAATAAGGGGAGGCGTTAGTAGACAAAACTATAGAACTATGTGAAAAACATGTATGAGAAAGTAGTTCAGCATTAAACATGATTTAATACAATTTAGAAACCTAGTCTTACATCTCGGACAAATCTACCTTAATGTCATGGTTAATGCACAATCATCTGGGTTTGAACAAGAAAAAAGGATAGATAATGGGTCCTTGTTATTTTCTTTTTCTTGTTGATTTCTTTTTCTTGTTCTTTTTTCTTTCCTGGTTTGTGGTTTTTTTGTTTTTTTTTTTTTTTATTTCGTGGGTTTTGTGGTGGTGGGTTTTGTGGGGGTTTTTGTTTCTTCTCTTTTTTTTTTTTTCTTTACAGCTGAGTCAAACTCAGTTGCTGGAGTTCACAGAACTGGTGGCCAGTTTCTAAAGAGAATTCACAAAAATACCCCAGTCATTGAGCAATTAATACTCAGCCCTTTGTATCACTGTTTCCTGAACCTTTCGGCTTACTATCATGGATCACTATGAGATCCTATTCCAGAACAGAAAGACTTCAATTTGTAGGATTCTATTGTCACTTCCATAATTTGAGAACACGAGCTGTAATTTAACAGTTTGGAAACAGACATAACAAGTAAATGAATGACAATAAAAAATAATCCACATTTTATACCTTTAATTTGAGATTGGACAGTGTGTAGACACACACAATGGGATCTGACTGAATTGTGCTTTGAGTAATGCATACTGTGAATCACTAACAATACTCGGTTTTACCTAGAAGGAAAAGGAAAAAAAAGAGGTAAGTCAGTTCTTCAAGAAACTTTATCTCTAGATATCCATGCCCTGACTTCAGGGGCTTGGGAATATTTGAGAAAATAATGTCTTTGACAGAATAAGCTTCTCAGATTAATTGTGATTTCAGCTAAGTGGTGGTTTGGCAGACTCCAGGCGCATCTCAGTACCCACCAAATTATATCCGATGTTTTTAGCAATATGCAATTATCTATGTCAGTTCAAGGTAATGCACAGGAACAATTATTTCATGTTTGGCATTTGCTGCTTTTTTATTTTTTAAACCACCAACAAAAACCTCTTCTGCATTCTGATTTTGAGCAATATGAATCAGGGTAAAGAAGCTGACCAAATAATAA